AAGGATGCCCCCAATTTTTATATAAAGACCGGGTGACCCAATGAATATTTTGCTCCAATAGAAACACAAAGAAAAACAATGCATTGTCTGCTCGGAAAACAAGTGACATTATTAATTTTTTTCTTGCTACATTTATGTTGCCACAAAATTTCGAAGGCAGCTATAGAACTTCCTCCCAACAGCACAATTCCGGCAGTGATCGTGTTCGGGGACTCTGTTGTGGACACCGGCAACAACAACTACTTAAAAACCATCGTCAAAGTCAATTACCCTCCATATGGCAAGGATTTCGTCGGAGGAAAGCCGACCGGCAGATTTTCCGATGGGAAAGTGCCGTCCGACCTAATCGGTACGTATTAGACAATCTAGTCGTTTTTCTCAAGCTTGTTATGTGTCGATTTTTTGTACTTCGTAATTTTATGTGTCAATGATATTTGGTGATTCGTAATTATACGCGTCAAATTATGATAGTTCGCGATAATCAATAAAGATTTAAATGTTTTATATATGTCTATTAATTCTGACTTATAATTATAAAATAATTAGTCAACTTAAAACGTTAAGAGAGTGCTTGTTTATAAGTGCTTCCCAAAAAAATTCAATCTTAACTTAAATTTAACTCAACAACTATGGACGGATCCATCTTTGGCCTGGATTGGGCTTCAGCCCAGGCCTGTTATTTTTGTTCTTTAACAACTATTAATTTGAAAAAAAAAAAAAAAATTGTATTTCTAGCTCAGTCTAATAAACTAATTTACTAAACCACCAAAACAATTCACTATTTGATTAAGTCCAAAGACTACTAACACCACTCTAATAATATTCACTAGTGCGGTTGTTGTATATTATAGTTGTATATAAATTTGTGATGTGTAGCTAGACATTTCATTTTGCTAATAACTATGTCCTATGAAAAATCTATATATTTGTATTGGGAAATTTTTAGAAATTCACATGGAGCACCAAACTTCGACCAAGAAAAGAAAATTTCCATTTATATTATCATTCTTTAGAAAATGGGATCGACGTCAAACTAGTGAAAAACACATCGAATACGGTGCAAAATGAGCATAAAGAAGATCATCGGACACAACTTCAATGAATATTTGAAAAAAAAATATTATGTGATTTTGTGAAAATGATTTTTTAAAATTGTAGCACAGTCTACTCTTAATTTCTGAATCCGTCCATGTGACAACCACACTATTCTCAATATTATTAATATAATTAAATAGTATAAATCAATCATCCATACAAATAACATCAACTTTAATTCACTATTCATTCACTCACATTTTTAATTACTTATCACTTCCAACTAGGCTTGTAAACAAATCAAATTTTTTTGATTCGATTCGATATTCGAATTCGATATTCGTGATTGGAATTCGAAATATTCGAATACGAATAATGTTTTATATTCGAAAGTTAAACGAATCCAAATTCGAATTTGTAGATATTCGATTCGAAATTCGAATATTCGATTCGTTAACAATAATTATATAAATTTTATAGATTATATATAGTATACATTTTGTTTATAATATATATGTATATATATATATATTGTTATATTCCTACTATTTTTATGACATAAAAAGTAAAAACTTCATAAATTAACAAATTTTCCTAAAACTATATGAAAAAAATTACTCTTTGTAATTATAATATTTTTTTTTAAAAAAGAATTTCGAATCGAATCGAACATGTTCGAATATTCTAAACGAATCGAATACGAATCAAAAAATGAGTTCGTTAACGAATCGAATACGAATTCGAATCTTCGAATATTTTAACGAATCCGAATCGAATCTCTGAGTATTCGCTTTGATTCGATTCGTTTACAACCCTACTTCCAATCACCCCTCTCTTACTTTTACATCAAATCAATTCTAATCATTTTATTTTAAATATTAGTTTAATACAAACTCAAAATTTCACTCAACTTTTTCAAAACTAACTATGGTTAACCAAACAAACCAATCAAAACCAACAAAATTTATAAACAAACATGCCAATGTCTTTATATGATTTTCAATTTGACATCTGTATAAATAAATATAATTATCCATATTAATTTAAATTAGATAAAACAATAATGCAAGTTTTTAAGAAGTATTTCAAAATTTAATTATAAAGTTTCTAATTAACACATGTCCCACTACTATTATGACATTTAAAGTATGATAACGAACTATAGTTGGTTAGGCTTATTGAGGAAATATTTATCGTTATGTCAAAAGTATTTGGTTCGTGTCTAATTTATTTTCATTAATAATTTTCAGTTGAGGAGCTCGGAATTAAAGACCTCTTGCCGGCGTATTTTGATCCGGCGTTGAGAGATGAAGATTTGTTGACCGGCGTTACCTTCGCCTCCGGCGGTTCAGGCTATGACCCTCTCACTTCCAATTTATTGGTATATTTTGACCTGGCTTAATAATTACAAGAAAATAGTTACTCCTATATTAAGTTTGGATAATTTTGGATAATTACAATTTACAATGAAAAGCAATTTTGGATAATTAGGCCAAAGCTTTTATTCAGAGCCTAACTAAGTTTCCGAAATTATAACATATATGCAATTATGCAGTCAGTATTGTCATTATCAGACCAGCTAGAGATGTTCAAAGATTACATAACAAAGTTGGAAAAATTGGTGGGACCCAAAAGGACGTCTAACATACTGAGCCAAAGTCTAATTTCGGTGGCTACCGGCAGCAATGACGTCACCAACACGTATTTCAGCACCCCTTTGAGAAAATCGCAATACGACATCTCTTCTTATGTCGATCTACTTGTTGGCTACGCTTCCGATTTCGTGCAGGTAAAATTTAAAAGTCATTAGAGAATTTTTTTATAATGCATTTATATTAAGGTGAAAATAATTTAGGTCTATCTCTCTTTAATATATAGTATGTTTGGTAAGTACCATGTGTTAGTTTATAGCTTATTTGACAAGCATATAAGTTTCATGTTTTTAAATAAGCTTGGTCGGTTGGATGAGATTTTAAAAAACTCGAGCTTATATCATATCTCCCTTTGGTAATTTTTTAAATAAGCCATTTAAAAATTTTATTTCAACTGCCTTATCAGCTAATTTTACCACACTTTTATCCTACAAGCTAGCTTTTTGAGTTATAAATAATAAGCTATCAGCTATAAGCACGGAATTAACTTATAAACTATCAACTAACTTATCAGTTAATTCTTGTTTTGACAACTATAGTAATCGCAATAAAATTAACCAATCAAATCAGTTTTAACCTAGCTAAAATATATATATAAAAGATAGTGATCAATTTATGTTCAAATTGTTTGATTTCTTGTATTGTGCAACAAAGGAGTTGTACAAGTTGGGGGCACGCCGTATAGCCGTCTTCGGGTTACCACCGCTTGGGTGTTTGCCATCACAGCGGACGCTAAAAGGAGGAGTCGAGAGGAAATGCATCGATTTATATAATCAAATATCAGAAATGTTCAATAATAAGCTTTCGGCCGAGATGGACTCCATCAACGGCCGGTACCCGGCGGCAAGAATCTCATACATTGATATTTATAAGCTACCCCTTGATGTCATTCATAACCCGCAAGAATATGGTATGCCTTATTTAATTACTTTAAGCTATTATTTGTGGTAGTGGTTAAGAATTTTTTTTTCTTCTAACTAACTTTTAAAGATGGAAAACGAAATAAAAACAAAATGGTTTGGCTCTAGATTCCTTTCTGATTCACTCTCAAATCTTTAATTACCTTATATTTTTAAAATGATTATTTNGACAGTAGAAATCTAGCGTTAAAGTTTCTAACTTTCCGGTAGAATGAAATTACTGCCTTTAATTTTAGATGCAGATTTTCGGCTTACTGATTATTCAGAATTACTGAGTAGTTTCTTATTTTGTTCGTCTCCTCTCTACCTAAAAAACCCCTCAACTTGATTTTGCTTTATTTTATTTGTAGGGTTTGAGATTTCAGATAAAGGGTGTTGTGGAACAGGGAATATAGAAGTAGCATTTCTGTGCAAATATACGTGTCCAAATGCGAATGAATACGTCTTTTGGGACAGTTTTCATCTCACAGAAAAAGCGTACAGAGTTCTCGTACATCAAATTCTCGAACACTCAATCAAGACTTTCATCACATGAAATATATATATACACGCACACACATATATATATATTGATTCATTGTCAAATTAAACAATGTATAAGGTATAGAAATACCATGAAATTGATTATCAAATATGAAATATTCTTCCTTTGTATGGCTAACTTTCAATATTTATGATGTTTGGAGCATTTCTTTTAATTCAAAGTTTAGTTTAGACATGAAAATAATATTAATAAGAGTTTTTTTTTTCTTTAATAAATATTAGTGTTGGCATTAAATTTTAAATGTTACCAGCCTTTTTGTTCACAATTAAAATAGGGGCGTTGTTGATACTTGATATAATTTTAACGAATTCAGCAAGTATTGGGCTAAATGAAAAAGCCCAACAAATTTTGAGCCTAGAAATTGAGAGCTATTTCAGTACAGATATTAGACAAATCGGACAAGCCCATGGAATAATGAAATAAATACCATCACACGGGGTTGCTTTTTATTTTATCTAATTACCCCTCTCACATTAAAAATATTCTATGAAGAATATTTTATACAGCCTTTTATATTATTTAATTTAATTAATTACCTCTCTCACATAAAAAATTTGAATGAAGAATATTGTGTAGTAGGAGAGAGGGAGGATAATTGTAAGTTGGATTTAATTTTAAAATAAGAATATTATAAATGAAATTAAAAGGAGAGGGAATAATATAATTGGAATAAACTAAAATAAGTGGAACATTTTTAGATTATTTATTGGAATAAACTAAAACGATGGTGACGTGGAACATTTTTAGATAATTTGGATAGTTCCGTCGTTTAACCATGAATCATTTATGTATAAAGTTGTAAATAAATATTCTCAAATCTAACTACTTTAAATATTTTATTTAGATGGATCTAAATAATAAGGTGTACGAGGAATATGCCTTTCCGGAGCTCATTAATTTACATTTGCCTGTACATCCATTCGCAATGTTTAGTAGACACATAAGCTAAGTTTATTAGTTAACTTATAAATTTTTTGTATTTCTTTAGTAGGATAAATTTTTTTAAAAAATTCGAACTTATCTCATCAGCTTCTTCAGGTAGGTTTTCAAATAAGCTCGTTGAAATTTTTATTTCAGCTAGCTTATCACTTAATTTTATCAAATATTTTTATCATATAATCTAGTTTTATAGCTATAAGTCATAAGTCATAAGTCATAAGTCATAAGCTCGACTTATCAGCTATCAGCTAGCTTATCAGCTAGTTTTATCAAACAACCGTAATGTAGAATTGAGGTGCTTGACTTCTGCATTCCACAATTTCATGTTTCGGGGCGACCCAAAGCTAGCGAATCCAAACCTGAACTAAAACTAACTGGTTCATGACCAGAATCCTTCATATGTCTTTTTTTTTAAAGTCCAACACCTACCGTACAGAGGGATTAATGAATAGAAACCTTTTTATACCTGGGCCGGTTTCGATTCTAGTCTTCTCAATTTTATAGACCGACGACTAGTCGGGTTAGTTGCATAAGAGTTGGGTCGAATAAAATGTCCTTGTCTAATAAACTCTACATTAAATTAAATATAAATCTACTAAGAACTCTAGAAATGGCCATCTGGCCGTGTTGGTATGGGTTCAGTCTGTTGACCACCCCTGCAAGACCTGTTGACCACAAGTTTCAGGCCCAAATCAAGACAAAGAGCGTGTAATGGCCGAACCGGTTCCATGGCTTTAAAAAGTTTGACAGTCTAGCAGTCCCAGGTCCAACTAGGAACCAAGAACAACCCTCTTATTTCTTGCCTAAATTCAAATTTGAACAGTTAAGGGGCGATTGAAGGAGTAACAACCAGTTCAACTCGATTTTGATTGGATTACGAGTTAAAGTGAGTTATTTGAATAAAATTGTTTTAGTGAGGTTAGAGAGAGATTGTAATTAAATAATATTTAAAATATAATTATTAATATTGGTGTCATGTAAAAGAAGAAGAAAGATGATGTAAGTGGTAAGTAGTTAAAAACATGTGAGCGCATGAATAATGAATATAATAAATTAAAATTGATGTGATATAGTAGAGAGATGATTGATATTATTCAATTATTTTGATAATATTGAGTATACTGGGTTGAGTTAGATTTTAAGTTAAAATGAGTAAAATAAATGATAAAATCAAACTAATTTTAGTCAGTTTTAACTTCTTATAAATTGCCCGATTCGCCTCTTAATTTTTTGAGCTGGTTTCGGGGGCCGCCAATAAACAGATTTTTTAATTCAACTGTTGTACTCATATCCGAACGTGAACCGAACCCAACGGGTTCCTGATCAACAACCCTTCATATCCATTTTTTTTTTTTTTTCTTTTTTTTTTTTTTTTTTTGCAGAAAGAATTATACACCTGAACCAAACTCGTTGGGTTCTTGAGTAGGAACCTTTATATCCCCCGAACGATTTGGACTCTAAGTTTTAAAGAACGACGACCTATTGGATAGGGCTCATAACCAATGGGCCGAGCTCAATGGTCATGTCTAGTACACTCTGTATTAGAGTAGAGAGTACTGTTAAATTAAACGAGTCTGACTCGACTCGTTCAAGCTCAAGCTGTCGTGTTTGATAAACGAGTCGAGCTCGAGCTCATTTGACTAACGAGCTCGGCTCGATAAGGCCCACTAAGGCCCAAAAAGAGATTTTTTTATATAATTTTTTATCGTTCGGCCCGTTAAAGCTCGAACTCGACTCGTTATTAGTAATAAACGAGCCAAGTTCGAGCTCGATTTTAAACTCGTTTATTTAACGAGCCAAACTCGAGCTCGAACACCCTAATTTCAACTCGACTCGTTTATAGGCCTAAGTAGATAAAACGTTTGGAAAAGACTATATATCTACTTCAAAAGACTGCCGCCTCGAAGAACTTCGTGTAAACTTAACATTAGTTGTGGAGATGAGATTTATATATGCTTCCCTCCCGCCTCCAACAATTTCCAAAGCAGCCGGCATCCGTGAAAGAACAAACCTTTGACCAGCGACCACTACACCATTCTCTTTTTTCTCTTGTCATCGAACATTTCAGTTAAACAACTGCAAGAGGTACTTATTCTTTTTTCTTGCTCAATTCAAGGCCTTATCCATGTCCCACTTCCCGGAATCTTCCTCAAGCTCATGCATTGTAGAAAAAAAAAGGAAGAAACAGAATCAAACACAAAAACAGAGAAAGAGGAAAAAGAAGAAAGAATTAATGGAAAAAAAAAAACGGAATCCATTAATCCACACCTCCACTTTCCTCGCTCTTTCCTAATCCACAATCAATTTGACCCATTTGAAGAAAGCTGATTTCTTGACTCTCATGTTTATTGTCTCTAAAACCTCAAATCCCCCATGAAAAACAAACATCAGCACAGTCAAATATCCTTTTTTCTTTTCCCAAATACAAAAAAACAATGAAACTAGTTTTCTTGATTTTCACTCTAATCCCATCCGTCTTTCTGCTTTCATCAGCCCGAGCCTCAACGACAACCAACACAACCCAAGAATGCCCCCTCGAACTCGACTACGTCCTCACAATCCCATGGAACAACTCGGATTGCACGAATTCCCAAAACCCAAACAGCCCCTTATCCCGAACCAGCTGCTGCCAAACCCTACTCTCCCTCTTCGGCATAGCCCTCTCCAAATACCTCCAAAGATCCTCCCTTTTTCAGCTCCCAAACCTGCCCACCTCAATTTCTTGCCTCCAAAGTTTCCAATCCAAGCTCAATTCCCTCTCGCTCGCCCCCAATTTGACCTCTCTCTGCTTCGATCCCCTGCAATTCGCGACATCCCCAAACATATGCGCCGCGATTCGGACCACCGACGACTGGGTGCGGACGGTCGGGAACTGGACCGCCTTGGACTCCTCGTGCCGGTCGGATTTGATCGTCCCCACCTCGTGCGACGCCTGCGTCGCCGCCGGATTCAGGGTTCAGTCCCAGCTAATCGCCGTCGACGGCAACCGCTCGCACTCCACCGACTGCTTCTATTTCTCCGTTCTGTACGCTGCTGGGGTCGTGAACGATTACGGGCCGGAGAGCGCCGGCGCCATCTCGTGCATTTTCGGGCTCTCAATCAGGCCCAAAAGAGGGTCGTCGAGGAATCGGGCCCCCGCTTTCGTTTTCGGGCTGATTGGAGCCGGTTTGGCGATTTTCTCGGTCTTTGCTGTGTTGGGACTGTTTTTGTGGTGGAATAGGAAATGCAGGAAAAGGGGTCATCTAAAAGAAGAGGATCGAGAGTCCGAGCCCGGGCCTAGAAGGCCCGCCACGGTCTCCATATGGTACAAGATCCAAGAACTCGAGAAAGCCACCGATAATTTCTCGTCCCAAAATTTCATCGGGCGGGGTGGGTTTGGGCTCGTTTATAAAGGCTCGTTGCCCGATGGGTCGGTCATTGCCGTGAAATGGGTCATCGAGTCCGATTTCCAAGGGAATGCCGAGTTTTGCAACGAGGTCGAGATCATTAGCAACCTCAAGCACCGAAATCTCGTTCCCCTAAGGGGTTGTTGTGTGGACGACGATGCCCGTGGGCCCGACAACCCCGACGGGCCTCGTAGGTACCTCGTTTACGACTACATGCCAAACGGGAACCTCGAGGACCGTTTATTCCCGCTTTCCGAAAACCGAAACAAACCGTATTTATCGTGGCCCGAGAGGAAGAGCGTAATAATGGACGTGGCCTGCGGGCTGGCCTACCTACACTACGGGGTGCGGCCCGCCATCTATCACCGAGACATCAAGCTCACCAACATTTTGCTCGATGGTGACATGCGGGCCCGGGTCGCGGATTTCGGGCTGGCCCGAATGAGCATGGAGGGCCAATCCCACATGACGACCCGAGTTGCCGGGACCCATGGGTACCTGGCGCCCGAGTACGCGCTATACGGGCAACTGACGGACAAGAGTGACGTGTACAGCTTTGGGGTCGTGGTTTTGGAGATAATGTGCGGGCGGAAGGCGTTGGACTTGAGTTCAGGCCCAGCCCGATCATTCCTGATCACAGACTGGGCCTGGGCCCACGTGAAGGCGGGCCAGATGGAGAAGGTGTTGGATGCCCGTCTTTTGGAAGGTCGGGAGAATCCGAGGGGGTTGATGGAGAGGTTTGTGCTCGTGGGTATTTTGTGTGCGCACGTGATGGTGGCCTTGAGGCCCACGATTGTCGACGTGGTGAAGATGTTGGAGGGCGATTTGGAGATTCCGGTGGTGCCCGACAGGCCGGGCCCGCTGGCCCATCCTTCATTTAGTATTTCGCCGGCTTTGAGTGCACCGCGGTTGGATTGTGGAGATATGCTTAGATGAAGATGAATAGGGTTTCTTTTTATGAGTGTGTGCATAGTTAGTTTCTCATGGATATGCTTAGGATTATGTCATGTATACAGAAAGTTTACATTGTTTGTAGGATTGAGTTGTAGCTTGTAAATTGAAATGAATGACTTGTAATGGGGGAGTGGGAGAGTTTTTCTTTGTGTTTCTATTGGGATTGAGATGTATATTACTATGAGTAATGAGTAACACTGCAATTTGCTCTGGATATTTTGGAAGTTGTGTGTTCTCACACTTGTTTCCTCTCAATTTTTCCAGACTGCATATTTTTTCACTGGAACTAGATGATGGGTTGGTCTATATTGTTGATATCTTTTCCATTTTTTGCTCATTTTGAGTGAAGATGTACAAAACTTGGGCATGTGATACTTTTTCAGTGTTCAGTCTATACTTTTAACACCTTCTCGCTAGAAGTGCGATTCTTCGCTTTAGGAATGTGAATTTTCTTTTTAGAAGTTTGATTTTCTCCTCGTGGGAATGTTCAGTTGATTGTGTAGTGGATGCGTTACTGTGAATATTTCTAGGATACACTCCTGTGTGTAGTACTCTCGTCTATTTGTAATTTTTTGTTTTAATCTACAAAATTTTTTCGTTTCGAAAAAAAAAAGTAGAGAAGTTTGAAGCTCATAAGTCACAATACTTGCAGTCAAAATGCAGTCATATCTCTTTCCCAAGAAATTATAGGTGGCCATTCTAACAAAATCAAAATATTCGTTTGGGAATTCTATTTTCTTTTAGACAAAAAAACTTCGGAAATTTTGGAGTATATAATATAGATTTTTTAATATTTTTAAAAGTCTTAGAAATATTAATTTGAAACTATTATGAATTTCGTGCAGTGCACAGGTAAAAGATATTCATTAATATTTATAAATTAAAAAATTATATTTATAAATTAAAAATATGGAATCTATATGTAATACAAATTACCTGTATTAATTTATTAAATATGTTATATAAAGTTTAAATTGTAAAAAATTACATAAAAATGTCTATTTAAAATTAGTACACAACCCGTGTGGTGCACATAACTGATAACAAATTACATTATATTTGTTTCAAAATAAGTATTATTTTAAAAAAATTTATTTCGAAATTCGATTTGTCCATAAATAGTTATTTTGCTAAAATTTTATCATATATTTAACAACCTATGTGAATAATAAGTATAAATATAGAATTTATATTGTTTCTTTAATGAAAATAATTATTTTTTTTATTTTAATTTTAAATAAAAATCTTTTTATTTTTTTTCAATATATTATTTTCCAAATTTAAACCATGCAACTAATAAAGGTAATAGTCGCAAATTTTGTCAATATATTATATACCAAATTTAAATCATGTAACTAATAATATAACAACCGCAATATTTGACCCAAATGATTCTGTACATTAATTAGGCAGGATTTTTCAAATTTTGGACGAAAAAATTACCCAATTTAATAAATCTAAATTTTTAGGCGGGAAATCAAATATTTTTTTACTCATTTTTAGTTAAGTAAATATCATTGTCTCTTTAGTTACTATTTCAAATAAATATCATTGTTTCTTTATATATTTAAAAAGTCTTATATATTTAAGTTATTTGATCTTAATTACAAGTTTTATTAATCTTAATTACAAGTTTTATTTCCTTGTTCATTTCAAACAAAATACTTGAACCAAATTACAATTTTTAAACTTTGAGGACATAACCGATAAACTCATAAATTTATTGAATTCTCTACCAGTAACTAAAATTTATATATATTGTGAAAGAGAGAATGAGAGAAAATGTTTCTTCTTATTCTCCCGGCACCAGTAAGTCGGAAAGCCCATCTCGCTACAAAGAATCGGAGTGAATGGAAATCAAATTCTAAACACTTATGTCATTATGAACTTCATGTAACACATCACTCATCAAAATAATAAAAAAATTTTAGCCGATAAAATCAAATTATAAACACTTCGTTTTTTATTGATGTAATTATGAACTTTATGTAACACATCACTCATCAAAATAATAAAAAAAATTTAGAACACCCAGATAAAATCAAATTCTAAACACTTCGTTTTTTTATTGATGTCATTATGAACTTTATGTAACACATCACTCATCAAAATAATAAAAAATTTTTAGAACACCCCGATAATAAAATTATAAGACTCATCAAGAGAGACAAATATTTTTTTAATATGAAATAAAATTGCATTTGGTTAGATCGGAAACATCATATATATTGTTTTAAAAATATATCCACTGTCATAGACGTACGAAGCAGATACACCAGATTTTGAAACATAACTGAAGTTTCTATAATAAACCAAAACTTCACGTTCGATAGTTTCTACAATCATCCCAAAAGACTGNAAAAAAAAAAAGAAAGAAAAAAAAAATGCACAACCCCAAAACCAACAATAATAACATCCATAAACAAAACTTTCCCAACCCTACATCTCATCTACCTAAGCTAAACTCACTTTGATCACCTCAAAAATCTCTCTATCTATTTGAGCACAAGTCGAAAAGCATCTTCCTTCCCTCCACAATCTCGTCAAAGAAATCATCCAACTGCCCCGTTATCCCCTCTGCCCCACACTGCAAAATCCCGAAACAACTCCTCAAGTTCTCGACTCTCTCGTCTATATCGATACCAATTTCGCTCTCATACCCGAAATCCGTACCCTCGATTGCCATTTTCAGCTCATCCAACGCGAATTTCGCTGCCCGAAGCTCAAAAAGAACAACTCCGGGCTCAAGCCCAAGACAGGCTACCACAGTCACAATCCTGTCGTGTAGACTAGCGCTTGAGGCCACGAAGTTGGAGCCAATAAACGGGCTTACGATCTCTTCTTGGTTGTTCTCTCGGCAGAAGCTGGTCTCGGGCCAGAAGTAGACGAGCCCGCTTAGAAGTATGGCGAGAAGCAATGTGTTTGCGTTTTTTAGGGCGTAAAGCGCGCCTTGGAAGCCGTTGTATTTATTGTACCGTAGTTCGGATAAGAAGTTGTCTTTGAATTTTAGAGATAGGGATTGGATTTTGGTCTCGGCTATGCGCCTGTTCTCGTGTTGTAAGGGGATGGTTTCTCTCTGGCAACGGTTGATTGCTCGTGTGACCTGTCCAAAAAAAAAAAAAANTGTCCAAAAAAAAAAAAAAAATCAACTGCGCGCCTTTTTTTAAAAATTTTGTGCATTCAATAACATAATCTAAGTGATTTGTCCAAGTTAAGATTTGAATATTTGGAGAGGCATTTGTGGGAAAACAATACTTGGACAAGAAAAGGAAAAAATAGTGATCAGATTCCATTATATAAAGGTATAGTTTAAAGTTTGATGTATTTAAGTGACAAAAGGGAAAGAATCTTAAAAGGAAATTGAAAGTTACAAATATATTCGGTTTCGATCAAATTTATACAATTTTCGCGTGGTGTTCTTGTCGAGAGAATCGGATGCTGACCTGTCTAAAAAGCTGCGAGTTTAAGACACGATGATCGTCGAGAAAAGTCGCCAAGTTGGCGCCGCTCGAGCAGTAGGCCTCCATGTTGGACACGCCCGACTTGATGACGTGGCAGGCCTCCCAAAGGCGGGAGGTCTCGTCCATGTACTCGTCGAGCCATTTTTCTCCGACCCTTAGCTTTAGCTTTTGGGCCAAAATGATGAGTTTGGTGTGGAAGGATCTTAGGGACGAGAGAACGTTCGAAAGGAAGTCGAACGACATGAAGTTCTGAGATAGGAAGAGGTTTTCGAGACCGTCGAGCTCTCGAGCGAGGAAGTTAAGGAAGCCACTGACTGAATTTGAGGATGGAGAATGAGACATTATTATTATTATTGTCAAGGGAGTGTGGTTGTGAAGGAGAAGAGAAAAGAGAAGATGCTTCGGGTTAAAGATGTTGTGATTCAATTAGAAATAAAGGTGATGGAGTGATTCTTGAATGTTTGGTAAAGTGTGTTTGAAAAGAAGAGTGAAGAGGAAGTGTGGTTGTGGAGTTAAAAAGGGGCTCATGGGTCTCCTTTTATAAGAGTGTGAGAGGGAGTAATTATAGCAAGAAAGTAGAATATAGGAGATTTGCTTGTTCTACTTTTTTTTATTCTTTTGTATATTTTATTTCACTTGTGTATATTTTTAATTGAGTGTTATATTCCATTCTCTAATTTTTCAATTCATGACTTTTGTATGTTTTTTTATTTGGATAATTTATTTCCTTTTGCCTTTATGTCTTGTCTCTTATAGTTTATTGATTTCAAGTACTTTTATGTCTTGTCTCATGTAGTTTATTTGTTGATTTAAGATATTTTTAGGGGTGACTTGGCTACAAATTAAAATCAATTTTTATGAGATAGTTTTTTACACTTTTTAATTTAAAATTTAATTCAAGTTTAATCTAACACAACTCTACTCAATATTATGTACCTATATCATTTCCCTTATCAATATTATGTAGCTATAGCATTTCCCTTATCAATATAATCAAATAGTAATCAATCATTTTCATATACCACATCAACTTTAATTCACTATTTATCTACTCACAAATTTTTAACTACTTATTGTTTCCAATAACTTATCTCATTCTTTTACATCACATCAACTTATTTATTATATTTTAAATATTATTTAAATACAAACTCAACATTTCATAAATTCTTATTTAATCAATTTTATTTAAAATTAACTCAATTTAACTCAAAATCCAATCAAAATCAATTTTGATTTATATCCAATCGCCTCCTTAAGCTAAGTAATTACACTCTTTAATAACTATACAACTTTCATTTTTAAGTGACATAATTTAGAATAAAATTAAATAAAAGTATGTCATTGTATTATCTTTAAAAAATAACTTAAATAAAAATGACATTGCGCAATATAACAATGTATGCTTATTCGAAGACTATGTTTTGATCGACATATGGTCATACTGTCATAAGCACCCAAATTAACCTTATTTAAAAATATATAGTAGCGTGAGTAAGGATTGTATCCATGGGAGAAGTAAATTAAACTATTAAAATGTGTTTAAAAAAAGGTGAATTTGATCTAATGATCTAATTAAACTAGAAATTACCTATCAAACCAAGAAATAAAAAATAAATAAAAATAAAATTCAAGAAATGAAATATAGTATGAGCTAGGTTGAACGGCCCAATAACCCGGTTGTTGAACCACCGAATAGGTTAAACCGATTCTAACCGATCAATTTTTGTTTTCTAATTTTATTTTCAAAATATTCTAATATATTTTCTTACAAAAACTAGGCACACATTGACATATACAAATCCATTCATGTACCAATAAACAAAGTCCTATTCCCAATCCACATTGCAATTAATTAAGGATGAATATGAATACTCTACAGAGCAAAGAGCACAACAGACAAAGCTTTTTGAAATGCTCATGATCTTAGCAGCAGAGATTTTCTTTGTCACTTTTTATTTGTTTATGTGGGGAACAAAGGAATAATTATATAGCATGTTGTTNNTTCCTTCGTTTCAATCACATAGCACGTCAAGAAAATGGCAATCTGTACGTTTTTTCCGTTGGCTTAATTAGCACTTATTAGACCGAGTCTAATCCCTTGTCAAAAGGTTGAAGTTTCGAAAATTGTCATCATTTATATTGATTTTTGTATTTTGAAGATAATATTATATATCTTAGCTATGATGTAAAGTATATATAATTGGTCGAAATTCAAATATTAATTTCCTCTTAAGTGCTACAATTTTCTACTGAGTCGTCAACGATGAACTTTATTTTTAAAAAAGAATACAAAATATTTTAAGAGCGTGATGAAAAGTATAGTATGTAATTACGCATTACATAATTGGAAGGGAGAGAAAACAAATGTCCACACTAACTAGAGCAAGCATGATCTTTCAAAGTATGAATATTATAGCTCTCATTTCATAAGGAAAATATTTAGGCTAACTTAAGCAATGTTGGTTATAGACATGAACACGGCTCGAACCGGCCCGCAATCGACCCATTGACCATGGGCCTTAAATCGGCCCGTAGCTTTATCCAAGTCAGTTCTGGTTTATGCATTTACAAATTTTGAATCTACGGTTACGATTTCGAACTGCAACAGGAATTGACAGTTTGACTTTAAAAAAAAAATTATATTTTTAATAAACTAGCCCGTCCCAAAATGGGATATTCATCAGGGGTTTGGCCATGTCTATTTGGTTATTAATTGATATAGCGGAAACCATATAGTTTATTGTATTAATTACGAATAATTAATAGCAGAACAAAATTCATCCATTTACCTGTTCAACTAGAAAATGTAATTTACTTGTCAAATTTCTCAAATATTAGTTGGATAAGTTAACATTTGAATTTTGACATGATTTTTAATATATGATATTCTCTTTACATGATTTATAATTGGTGTAAATTTCAAGTGAAGTGGCTGAGTAGATTGTGAGATGGCTTTTTGTGTGTTTTTTTCCTTTTGGTTTGAGTCGAGTCGAATGTTCCATAACTCCACGAGAATTTCCCACGAGCCACTTAGTCGAATTATGTGAGTGGATGAATAGTGAATTAAAGTTGATGTGATGTGTAAGAATGATTGGTTTGTATTATTTAATATATAATATAAATAATATTAAAGATAGAGGGATTGACTTAAAGTTGAGTTAGGTTTTGAATATAAAATAAAATTGAGTAAATTATTTCATAAACAATCAAGCCCTTAGTAATTTGACGGGCCAAATCTTTAAATGAACCACTAATTTTACATAAATCCACTAATATTCATGAGCATTAATTATATTATTCTTTTACGAAAATTGATCGATTAGAGTCGGTTTTACCTCTCCGAAAATAAAACGACCGGCACTTGGTCGTTCTTAAGGACTACTCTGATTCTTTTCTCGAAACACTGTTTGAAGTGGTGGATTAATATATTCACAGTTTTTTATGGAGTCTAACAGTTGGTTCCGTAATGAATCCTATTTCATATAAATAACAAGTAAAACTACCTATTAATGTTCTAACCTAAAAAATTAACTAAATAAATTATTTACCAAATACATAGTTAGCGGATATGATAGATCAAACTTCTTAATAAGATTCAACCCATTAATTCTATGTTAATCCACCACTATTCTTTAATATTTGCAGTTAAGCATTGACGAAAAATCCAATCCAACTAACACTCTAAAATAATGTACGAGGTTTCATATCTTTGATTGGGTAAACCCGTTTGAAAAATAGTATGCATGAATATATATAAAGGTTTTAATTTAATAACTGCTCCATGTCACATGAGCATTAATTAATTACTTTCAATTGATCCATAAACATTTAGGATGTGAATATATTAACATGCAATCACGAAGAAAGAGGTTTATTAAAGCCCCTCAAACAAGGACAAACATATGTTATCACGGATAATTTAGACAAAAAAGGATTTACATCACAGTATCTTACAAAATGGATAAAAATTATGGGGATTGTGTCCCGTGTTTACAGGACAACTCTAATTAATCTACGCATAAAAAGACTGCTTAATTCGGGGTAGAATATGGTAAACAATTAATTAGGATCTAATTATTTAATTAGTGATTTTTTTTTTTTTCATTATAATCTTGTGTCGCTTTAAGCAAGGCAAAATAGGTAATTTTTTTTTTTATATATATATATATATTTTTTTCTCTAAGTCATGAATACATTCACTTGCTTGATTTGCAATGGACCACTTTGTATGCAAAAAGTTGTTCTTGTATGGGACAAACAAAATTAATTTCAAAAAGTTGTGAAGATACTTTTACAGTTTTACGTAAAGAAGTAGTAATAGTTATTGTGCACACCATGTTAGTACCATTAGTTGACGGGTTTTCAATACCAGCAGCTCGAAAATTTGTGAGAATATTAAATCAGAAAATTGTGTAGCAGTTTTATTAATAGTTGAACAGACGAATTTTTTTCTGGGCCTTTTTCTATTTATTATAGGAAATATGTGGATTTCACTAATATAATAAAGGATGAAAAATACTCCCTCCTTGTAATTTTGGATGAGGATTTGGATTGAATTTTTGTTTATATTTATTCAAGAAAGTTGCAAAATAACTATTAACCAATTATAAAAACATTTATTTGGGCTATTTGGGCAGGATATTCACGATTACTTAGTTTTCATTTTATGCAATCACAAAAATTATTGGGCAAAATTGACACCTGCCCCAAATTACTAGGTGTAGTTCTTAATTTTTTCAACTATCTATCATTTTGAACTATTTTTTCAATTACATTTATATAGCAAACCTTAAAAAAATGCTTTAATTTATTTACCTCTCTCTTGATTTTCTAAATTTTAAAAGGAAAGAGATATTAAAATATATAATTTAAAAAGATCTTATAAAGAGTATACTATTATGCCTTTTATTTATCATGACACTTAGTTTAAAAGGAATGAAGCAAGTGATTATTACACCAAAAGAGAAAGAGAAAATTATGATTAGCAATAAAATATTTTGGAGGTAAAAACTAAAAATCTTTGCTCAAACTAGTATATACTTTTCCCCTTTTTTTTTCCTTTCTTTTTGGTTTCATGGCCAACTAATTTTTTCATCTCATGACTTAAAAATTCTGTAACCTCTTTTTTCCTACAGCCAATTATGCATATCTGAAGATGTTGTGGACATAATAATTGTATGCAAATGAGTGTGTAAAATCCCTTAGCTCATTATGTTATCAACTCGTGATTCATATGTTATCAATGTCGGGATTGTATAATGAGATAATTATAGGCTACACTAGAAAGTTCATTTTTAATTACACAAATAAACTCCTTTTCAAAATAATTGCATTATAGTGAAAGATTACGTTTATATTTGCAGTTATATAAGAATTCGACTGACTTAAATAATTAATTCACTAGCTAGATTAATGGTATTAATATTTGTACCAAAAACGGCTCCTGATGCGTATGGTAAGAGGCAATTATCCCACATCTATAAAACTGCACCCACTCTCTTCTCTCTCTTCAACACGATTAACCTCTGCTCTCTCTCCCACAATTTTTCTCAATTGCAAACCCTAACCTTTCAAACCAGTTTCAAAAAATGGCAGAAATGAAAATTGGAAGAAGTTCGATAACCGGCGCCAAAGCTTCCCCTCATCGAAGATCGAGTTCGCGACTCATAAATATAAAAGTTTGCAGGAAACCCACTCTCGTTAAAAAAAATTGCATTTCGAAAAAAAAAATGAAAAGCAACAACTATCCGAGTATGCCCGGAAAGAGAAGGCCAGAAAAGGTTGACCCGTCATCCGATTTCGATGACTTTCAGTCGGCCCCTAGCTACAATCCACATAAAAGGTCACGAGTACACAATGAAGGAAAACGAGGTATGGCACAAAAGGGGGCAACAATGGATTCCGACTTTGAGGACGAAATTCATGAAGAAGACAGTGAAAGCTATGAAGTATCGAGTGATGAAGAACACGACTTGCAAGAAAACAAGAAAAAGGACAAGAAACGAGTAAAAAAAGGTGAAAATAATGAGAACCTGACCAAGAAGAGGAACAAGCCCGGTGACAATTTGAGGAAATCATAAGAAGATTTGCAAAATTTGGATGACATATTGATTTTATCTTTTGTTGGGTATTTTCTTTTATGTCCTATGTATATAATTAGTATATATTCTGTATATGTTCCCGACAAATATACTGTTATTTAGTATATATTTCGTTTATAACCAGTGAACATATCATATGTATATGTTGAGTATATAATGAATATATTTTCTGTATATAAGTTTGATCGTGAAACAGAAAAAAATTACGAAAAGATAAAATTATCAAGTTACTTCGTATATTTTCTGAACTTATATGTTTTCTGTATATATTATGTATGTAGAATGCCTTTTGAAGAAAACTTCTCAGAGGATAATATACACTCGAAATATATATAAAATATACAGAAAATATACACTCGAAATTCTCGTAACAGGAAATATACACTCGAAATATACATAAAATATACATAAAAATATACATCGATTTTTTTGGGGTAACAGAATGAAGTTACGGATACTGATTCATCAAGTCATTAATCTGAGCGTCAATTTTGGGGTAACAGGGATACTGAAAGTATTAATTTGTACTCCTGCAATTTAAGGATACTGATAAATTTTTTTGGGGTAACAGAAATCTTGCATTATCACAAATAATTTCCATGCTTTTGGTAAGTTAGCAAAAAAATTGTAACCGTTCGTAATGTTGCAATATTTGTTGAATCGCTGTGTATACATAAAATTTTCCCTTGTATAATTGTCAGGCCGCCCAAGGTGGCACAACGCATCGGTATATTGGGTCGGGCCCAAAATAAAATGAGCCCAACCTGTTGGGTAAATGCATTTGAGGCCCGTTTAAGGCGTCACCAATCTGTTGTGATTTTGACGATTTTGTAAAATGCAAAAATAAAAAATAGCTCACTTTTCCATACTCGAAAGTAGAAACCATTGTCTTAATTGAGTAGAAACCATTTTGTAAAAGACATTAATTATTTCTATTTTTTATCCAATAAGTGGTTTCTACATCTTCAAAAAATTGAAATTAGAAAAGACTACAAATGTAAAAGTTGGCTATTATTCATAATTTCAAATAGAAAAATAGTTAAAAAGTACTATTATTTATTACTTTATTAGCACTTTCTGTTCACGATTAAATATTGTGCTGAACGTGCATTTTCGACTCTGAAAAATTGCTCTGAATACAATACAAATACACTGAATAATATTGGGCTTTTGGGGTTGTTACGTCATCTTATGAAGATTTCGTTGTGGCCCAAATAATGAGTTGGGCCAAACTAAGTTAATAATAGACTCCATCATTATTAAATTACAATAATAAGTTCCAAAAATAAATATTCTATTTAAAATTCAATAGAATGATTAATTTTATGTTCTAATTATTTTTAGAGTTTGCCGCTGGTTTTTTTTACAGGAATTGACCCTACGGGTCGATTCGAATCCAAATCCGGTCTAAATGGGTTTATCAAATCGTTAGCAAGCAATCTAGTCAAAATCTTGCCGACCCAGACATTGATCTGTTGACTCAATCCGGTATGATTTTGTTATTTTTTAACTTTTTTTTTTTTAGTTTTTCAAAATACTTTTAGTTTTATTGATAAAACTTATGTGCACATATTTATATGGTGAATATTTGTGATTAGATAAAGATTATTAAGACTTTGTGTTATAAAAATTTACAAATAAATTATTTATGCCTATTCTTATTATTATGTATATATTTAAAATAAAATAACACATAATTTTAAAATTTTTATAATTAATTTCTTGNGGAAATATATTCACAAATAGATAGTTGTCTAACATGGCAATACGGGTGTTATTCGAACAGATTAGCTCATGTTAGAGTTTGTTGACACGTGAGAAATCTTGTATTATTTTGGTGTTTAATTTATATATTGGAGTATTTGATCTTAGTGTATTATATAAGTTTTCTCACGTATTTTATTTTGTGAACAGACATACACCAATATTTGGATTTTGTTTTATTTTGCAGTTATTATGCCTATTTATGATATGGCATTGATGAGGTGGCAAATAAGACATGCAAGGATGTGGATTATACTTCTACTTGGCCAATTACACGTTGGGCTCTTAAATTATTTCATGGGACTTAGGATTAATTGGGTGCTGACTTGAGGAAAGGAATTTTGCTAAGATTGGACTCTAATTTTTGGTGAGATATGCGTGGCCTATGTTGGGTGGAAAAGAGGAGAGTTTCATGGGGAGTGGAATTCTCAATTGATAGCTGCGTGGCATAGGATCAAGGGGATTATAAAATAATAACCTCATTCATTATCCTGGGACTTTGGGGGAGGTGAACAGACTCTTGGACGTGAAGAGAGGCAAGAGAAATTCCATTGCTGCGGAGAATTCACGTTAGCCGTGGACATTGAGGGAGTTTGTTTTATTTAGTTTTATTTGCTTTGGTTTATTTTGATTGAACAATATGGATTGTTATTTTTATTTTTATTATTTAGTTATGTGTAGCTAAACACTTATTTCAGTTCTAGGGACGTTGAATCCTCGATGATATGTTCGATTAATGCAATTTATTTCGTTTTACTCGTCGTATGAAATTGTTTGTGTTATTCTAATTTCATGTCATAATGTATGATTTTTAATTTAGCCTAATCACCTAAGTTAGGAATTGCATGTTAATTGCTAGAGTTGAGGCTTCGATCCGTAATTGTCGTAGTTCTTAATTCAATTGTAGCAACTAACAGTCGTGCATTGTTAGGGATAACACAACATAAGTTACATGAACCGAGCTTATGTGTTTGTGGCTTAGATCGGTCTATTTTCCTAGATTTTAATGCGACTAGTGGATTAAATTAGGAGAGCTTATTTCGAGTTATTCGCTCGTTAGAATTAATTGAAGAGCATATTTCGATTAAGTAAAAATTAAGGGAAAATTCGGGTAGCAAAGCTTATTGCTACCTAGGCCCGGTAGTTTTAGAAGACGAGTGAAATTTGATAAAAGCATTAATTGGGCTAGTTATTCGAGGGTGTAGACCAACCTGTGACCGATTTTATTCTCATTTTTATTAGATTATTTGTTTATTTTCGATGTCATCATCATTTGCATTTTAGTCATTTATTTCTAGTTTCTAGTTTAATTTCTGTAGTTTAATTTTTCTTTTTGCTAGTAGTTTCGTTTCTAATCAAACCCCCCCATTTTCGCTTAAATCTAATTAATACAAAATAATCACGGTTTATACCACACTCCCTGTGGGATCGACCCTTGCTCGCCACTACTACTAGTTAGTAGGGGTTAGATGAGGAAAAATTATAAATTCAAATTTGTCGTGTAACGACGCGCAGTCATTTGTGCTCGAATTAATAAATGCGCCAACTTGATTCGGCTCTTTTAATAAACGGCCCAAATGTTCAACTCGAACTTTGGGGTCTTTTCACGGACTACAGTTGGCCTGGGAGTTAAGATTTCATCAGGTTATAACAGAGATCGACAGCCAATGCGTGACAAAAATAAAAGTTGGATATGGACAAAACTTGGGGTCCATGATGCAATAGTCCGGGCTATTCGGAGCTTAGTTCAAAGGGAGTGGCGCATTCGAATCCAACGTGTGCATAGAGAGGCCAATTATGCGGCGGATCATATAGCGAGATTGGCTTCTTTATTTTTTGTTGTCTAAATTTGCACTAATAAAAAATATTTTAGCCCATATTATATTAGTTTAGTCCCTTGTTAATTTTCTTTTGGTCTAAGCTAAATTAAATTTATTTTAGATTATATCATTGAATTATATACTTGAACATGATTTCTATTATTGGTCAACAAATTTGATCAACCCAAAAACACCAATTTAGTGTTGTTAACAAGCTAATGAAGCTATCAAATTTGGTATAATTTAATGAATTTTGCGTGAAACCAGACAAACACGAGATCGGGTATTTCCGAACTTGACATCGGATACTCACCTAAAATGATTGTATTAAATGATGGAATATATGCTTATTTTTCAAGAATTTTCCTCTAATCCCCTTCACAAAGGATGCCTAGGACTATTTATAGTAAGCATGACCAAGTTATTGTTCCTCGGGCAATACAATTGGACATTAAATGAAAAGGACAAGCATTAATTGTTGCACATGACCCTATGAAGCTTTTCAACGTAGGTGGACAGGTTATTGTAAAACTTGTCCAATCATTAATGATGCGGGCCCATGTTGCCATTATTTTAAGTATTTCTTCCATCTTAGTGTGATCGGCTCGAGTCTCCTTGCATAAAACTTCTCTCAATTTAGCCATAGTCTCGAGCTCGACAAGATCCTAATCGGGTTCCTTCTCTGATAATCCGATCACATGTTGTCGTATGTCCTTCTGTGTACGACTCGCCTGATCAATCCCACAACTAGTTGTTCATTCGGGTCAAACTCCCTTCAGATCGAGATCGGTACCTGCGTGTTCTCATCTCGGAACTCATCGCTCTTTCACGGTCATCTGACACAAGTTCCATACTTAGGCGATGATTATCTACTTTATCGTATTAATCAACTTTGCATCAGCTCAGTTCAGATGTCAACATCTCTTTCTGCCTTTCTTCTTAGCTTATTATATCATTGTTTTTCTTCTGTTTGTATTTATCTTTTCTGAATTTTGTTAAAGAGAATTCATACTAAATTGTTTTATTCGAGACAAATATATATGAAATTCATATCATTTATATTACTTCATTCATGGAATATATCAGTTACTTTATGCATTGAGTTTATACAATTTGATTTTATGCAACTATATAAATCGTCTTTGTATAAATCATATCAATTTGATCTTATGCAACTACATATCAGTTACTTTCATGCATTCATTTATATTACTTCATTTAAATCGTCTCTATATGACTCTCTCGTTCTCCCTCTCTCTCTATGAAATGACATATGAAACTTAAATGACATGTCATATAATAAGAATGACGGAGGATAGACTGTCTCACAGCAGTATTTTTTTTAAATAAAAATCAAGTGCCTGACAAAATTTATCTTTAAACTCTTTAGACAAAAAAATAATAGTCATCTCCATATAAAAGTCGACTAAAGTATATAATTGATATTTTTATTTTACAAATGAAACATTCGCATTTTAATATTATTTATTGTGCAAATTATAATTTATATAAAACATTTAAAAATTACATTCATACTTTGACTTATTCATACATCTATCTAACTAGCTTATTTGAGCCGAGTACTTCATAGTCCAACTTGTGCTCATTCAATAAACGAATTGGTGTAGCTCTATTCGTATAATAAATAAAACAATTAAAAATGTGAAATTCGGCTTATATAAACTTGGTTCGACTCATTTAATAGACTTTAAAACTAGACCAAAACCTGAAACTCTAATCGAGTTGCGCAAACATGATCGACTCTACTGTTTGATAGACAAACTCGATTTGTTGTTCGAGTTTGGCTTATTTAAATATACAAATGAGTCGAGCTTAGACTTTTATAAGTCAGAATCGAAATATGCTAGTGGATAACTCGACTTAAATAACATGTGTACATTTTTAGCCCACTAATAATTTTTCT